CTCAACCAGCAAAAACCCTTGTTCCTTCCTATTATTGCTTATATTCTCTCTACAACAAAATTAGAGATAAGGGCAAAATAGTTTCTGCCGGGTATTGAGTGGGTGGTAAGGGAGGGGGTGGGGGCAGGGGGGAGAAATGACCCAAGCATTGTAGGCACATATGAATAATAAAAAAATAAAAATTAAAAACAATAAAGAATGTCTGATATTGGGTCAGGACTTAAGTACAGATAGAAAGTAGATTACCAAGACCCAAGCATTGTATGCACATATGAGTAATAAAATAATAAAACAAAATAAAACAAAAACCCCTCAGTCCCACCAAAAAAAAGAAAGAAAAGAAACATAAGAACTCTCTCTCTCTCCCTGTGTACAGAGGAGAGATCCTTGGAGAACACACAGTCTCTAGAATTATGAGAAAATAAATTTCTGTTGTTAAAACCACTCAGTATGTGGTGTTTTGTTACAATGAATTGCCTCAGAGTTTTGCATATACAATTTCCCTCTGTCTAGAGTTTCCTTTTCGTTCTTCCAACTTTTCTGCTTCCCTCCTCTTCCTTTCCTTTCTTACTTTTCATCTAACATGGCTTCCAACTGGACCACTCTATTTAAACAGCTATCCCAAGGTCATCGGTTACTGCCATTTCACCGAAACCAACAAATGTTTTCATCTTTATCCTACTGGACCTTCTGTCACATGTGACATCATAAACTCCTCAGTTCCTAAATTCTTTCTTCCTTGGCTCTGATTTCACTCTTCTCTTTAGGCATTTCTCTAATTATTTCTTGTAGATTTCCTTCTTGAGCTGCTGTTGATATTCTACTGGATTCTACTCTTGGCCCACATGTTTTTTTTCTGTATAATGTCCTCCCTGGGAAATCCCTTCTGTTCTAAAAATGTTAATTCTAACCATGTGTTGATGGTTCCCAAATGTAGCTCAGCACTCTGAGGTAGACTGAATAATTAGCTGCCTCCTGAGTTGGACAGCCCAAGGCCGTCTTAAATTCAAGACATCTGCAATGAGTCTGAACTCTTTGTTTTTGTTGCAGTTTGAACCAGGGCCTCAGGCTTGCTAGGCAGGTGATCTTCCACTTGAGCCACTCTGTCAGTCCTTTTTTGTGTTGGGTATTTTTGAGATAGGGTCTTGCAAACTATTTTGCCCAAGCTGACCTCAATCCTCCAGAGTAGCTACAATTAAAGATGTGAGCCACCGGAGCCTGGCTTACAACTGAACTCTATCTTTGCATCCAAACCAGCCTCTATTGAAATTTTCATTCTCAGTGTACTGTGCCATACTTTATCTGAACAAGAAACCTCAAGTTATTCTGTACTCTCCTTTTTCTTACCCACTGCTTATGATTTCTCTCTTTGGAGTTTAGGTAGGAGAGATTAATTAGTTGTAATCATTGGTTCACAACACACTGTCATTATGCTGGTGCCTTTGTAGAAGTCAGACATTCCCATGGTTTCTTTACTCCCACTGCCAAAGTGACCTACCTTTCCATCTTTGAAGTGCTTCTTGAGCTGCTTCTGCATGGCAGTCAACTTCTTGGACTGTACTCCACTGTAGGCTAGCAGCATGCCACCAAACTGCCTCTCAGTAATTCTCCCATCCACAGGGTCATGGCGTTCAAACTGGCAGGGAAACAGAAAGAGTGTTCTTAGAGCCAAACAGAAAGTATTTTGACGTGGAATGATTATGTTAGATGACAGAGAACAACTGACAGTTATAATTCTCTAAAAGACCTGAAAAAACTAATAAGAAACAGATCTAGGTTTATATCCCAGATTTACCATTAACTATGGCTTTAGGTAAGTCGTCCAACTACTCTGGTTCTCAGTTTCCTCATGGACATAACAGAACTGTACCAGAAGTGCTATAGCACTTTATAGCACTGTATAGAAGTCCTATAGCCTTTCATACCCCTCACAGGCCAGGAACATCCTTGTGAGGATAAGACCAATTTAGAGCTTCACATAAATTCATGTTATTATTAGTGATAATATGTCTATGATCATTCAAGTCCCTGACTCTTGGAGAAGCTTTAACAGCTAATTGTTACAAATTTCATCAATTACATTTCCTTCATATGTACTTAATATTGTTATGTATTTAGATCTTTACGGATTTCAAATATGAGTAAGGTATTTTCAAGTTTTCTCCAAAATGGTAACTTAATCCTAGGGCATCAATAGAGCTTAGGGAAAAAAACTGCATAGAGCGTAGGATGCTTTCATTAGACTTGCTAACCACAAAGCTATCGAAAAATCATTACATATGCAGATGGAAAGGTTAAGTATAAAGGATCTCTAGCTAATCTAAGTGATATTAGAAAACGAAGATTTTCATTTAAAAATGAGACAAGAAAGCTATCTCAGTCCCAGCTGTAATGTTAATGATACTTATAAACACATAAATAATATAATAGCTAAATATGGACCCAGAAATCAATTAGAAAGCAAAACAATCTTCAAGTATAATTGCTTCATAGTTTTATTGGGATATCACAGAAGGAAATGTCCAGATTGCTATATGGCAAGGCCTAATCCTTTCTTATGAGAGGGGTTATACGTAGATTTAAGATGTTGCTAAAAAAGGTCACATCAAGGAGTATTTCCTGAATGTCGTCTAGTTCACTAGCACTTGCGTTTGTCATTGTAGGGTATAGGAAAGGAGAAAATTATGCTTCTGTCCTTAGGGATCTTACTCAAATCTAGTAGGAAAAGAAGACATATGTAGAACACATAAAGGAAGGAGATAAAATAGTAAAGAGTAAATTCTCTTTTAATTATCAATCCCTCAGTTGGCTTGATAGATTGATATACTGATATACATCTTATTTCCTCACTGATGAGACTATGGCAGTGAATAAGCCTCAAGAACTATACTTGCTATACTAATAATAGCAACCATTTGCTGGGCATGTGCCGTGGGTTAGGTAAGACCTATATATTCTTTCATTTAATCACTGACAGTTTTTTTTTTTTCCTGGCAGTACTGATGATTGAACAGGACCATGTGATTACTAGGCAGGCACTTTACTGCTTGAGTCATGATTTTTTGCTTTAGGTGTTTTTCTAATAGGGTCTTGCATTTATGTCTGGGGCCAGCTGGGACTATAATCCTATTTATGCTTTCCAACTAGTTGGTATGACAGGTGCATGCTACCCAGCTTTTATTGATTAAGATGGGATCTCACTAACTGTTTGCCTGGGCTGACCTCAAACCATGACTTCCCCCAGTCTCAGCTTCCTGAGTAGCTAGGATTATAGGCATAAGCCACTGTGTCTAGCTATAATCACTGACAGTTCTATGGAGCAATTATTAGTTCCTTTTTTGCAGATAAGAAAACTGAGCAACATGCAGGTACATGTGATAATCTGGGGTTGAAACAGCCTTATCTGAATCCAAAGACTATCTCTCAATATCACACCATTTCCTACTTCAAAATAGTAGTACACAAACAACCTGTAGGACAACACGGTGTTGTTCAGGATAAATAAATACAGCCATGGGGCTTATGAGTCATATTTAAGTGAGAAGCAAAGCTATTTGCAAAGAAATCAACATCATCAATACTAAGTGAAAGCCTACTTTTCAACTCAACCACTCAATATTTCATATTTGCCACACCATCACTTCTGTAGAGCTGATTAATTTTTGACAATAACAACAGTTTTCAGGATTCAATTTTAGCTTGATTTATGGCTCAATTTACCATTCTGAAACAAAACGGAGGACTGACAAAATTATGCAAGTGGGCGTACTTTTGGCAATATTTAAATAAGATTTCCAGTGAAATCTGATACTTGGGCAAAAGGTGAAATTACAAAGCTCACTTCTGGGTTTCTTGTAAAACAAAGTAGTGGCCTCTGTTCTCCAGACAAGTTTTCACAGTTTAGAGAGCTTATTCTCTTCTAATCTGGAGGATTTCACAGATGTGGGATAAACCCGTATGTTTGCATTGAGTTTCAGCCCTGTCCCACAAGATAGATTTGATATTGAAATGTTTCTTGTTCATAAAATGGTAGCAGCTGCTGCTTGCTCAAGACCCTGAAAGGCCTTTATGCTCCATGCTCCATAGAGGTAGAGCCTTACCTGTTAGTTTCAAAGACAATTTCTAGTGGAGGTTCATCAATTCTGATGCTCAAAATAACATTTTTACTAATGTTCTTTGAAAACTTGGGCTTGGCTTTTGGTAGTGGGTAAGATTATTATTATTAAAAAAATTTTTTTTGAGACTGTGTCTTGCTTGGTAACCCAGGCTGGTATTGAGAACTCACTATCCTCCTCCCTCAGCCTCCCTAGTATGGTTATCTGCTTCAGCCTCCCTAGTATTATTATTTTAAGTAACTGGAACTGAAAGTGCTTAAAAAATGACAAGATTTGACTTGTCCATGTCCCACTTCATGTACCTTACTACTCCAGCTCTATAATTTTTGGCAGCACCTCTCTGTTTGGGTTTGTAGGGTCTTCTGAGGCAAAAGTGCCTGATTTTTTTAATCCTACTTTTGTTTGAAGATCTACTATACTAAGCCAAGGGAGTTTTGTGGGTAGTATCTCAAGGACCTTCATTAGGGTTAAATTTTCAAGTGCATTAGCTAGATGTAACATGGCTTTGGGGTCAAGTATGAATTGTTGGCCTTGACAATCCCGTGGGTGCACTCTCAGAGTGCTGTGTGCATGCAATCAAAACCCAAGGTCAAGGAAGGGACTTTGGGGGAAAGACACAGTTTATTACCAAATTATCACAATGTAGAAAACTTCTACTTGTATATTGGGAGCATTTTGAATCACTGCCTTGCATTTTACTTAGCTAAATGTATGTTCCACTTATGTTGGAATCTCATATGTTCTAGCTCAATGACAATTGAGAAGTTCCATTGTTTGATCCCGTGGCACAAAATGTGTGCATTTCAGAACACCACCCACCATCTGTCTTGCTTTCCTGTGTTTAAAAGGAACGCTGAGCAGCCTACCACATTCCCTGCCGCAGTCACTGCCACTTTCTCAAACTGATACAAGCTGTTGTTTCCTTGTTGATCCCCAGGGGGCTGCAGGTCAGAAAAGAGGAGCCAAAAAACTGTCTGCAAGATATTTCCTGGCTTTCTATCCACAATGAACCTCTTGTTCCCACCCTTGTCCCTTGTTGAGTGAAGGAACAGCCTTTTGGAAGGACAGATGGTCTACACTTATGTACACAACATGATCTAAGGAAGATGGGGAGCTAGGAAGAGAAGAAAATTATTATTATGAACAAAGGCCAAAAATAAGGTTAAATGTAGTAAAAGGAGAAAGAATTGGGTCATGATTTATTAAAGACTTTTGGGATTAATGTATTCCTATGAATGTAAACGTCAATCTTGTTCTCTTTCATACAATTACCTTTCAGGAAACTTTGTCTTTCACTCAGAGTAAATAAATTCTTCCCTTATACAAATATTTCAGAATGATAAATATCTTGGCAGTCTTTTTCTAGTTTCTGAATTGCACAGTGCAAAATAGCATCGTGATTTCAGGCCACCGAGCTGAACACATCTGCGTTTTTCAGTTTGCTAGTATGTAGCCTCTGAGATCTTAACCACTGCATATTTGCTACTGTCAGGAATCTCACTGTTATGTCCATCAAAAGGAGAAGCAACTATAGCCAGTGTTCTCTCTGTAAATCCACCCAGTGAGCATGACATACATATCTCATAGTCTGAATTAAAATATGCTTTTCTGCAATTGGATGGGAACACCAGAAAACCCTAGGCTACATCGCCAGCAGCCTCAGTTTTCTTGATCCTATATATGAGAGGAATCTCCACCATCAACACTAATATGGTTGTCTTTTGGCAAGCTGAGGAGGCTTATAATTTGGAACGGATCAGTGCCCTCAGCAAGGACCAAAACAATTGATTAGAGACTTGGACCATGAGATTATAGACTATCAACTAAACTGCTAAACTTTTGTATTTTTCTCTTTGTGGTACTAGGGATGGAATCCAGGGCCTTGGGCATGCTAGGCAAGTGCTGTACCACTGAGCTATGTGCTCAACCTAAACATCTGGACTTTTCTACTTTAAACTCAAAGATTCGTTCTATTTAAAAATTCTTCTGTATTTTTTTTTTTT